CATGAAGCGCTTCAATAGAATTAGAGTATTAGAAGAATAAGCAGCATACAGTTTTTATGCCCGTGCTTATCAATGCCTGTCAGTACCGCGCAGTGAATAAAAAGCTATGTTAGAATTATACAGCATGAATACGTTGCAATGGTAACAAATTTAAGCAAAGTGCATGTTCCCTCGGAGATGTATGGGTGCGTTAAAGCTTAAAATTGTACACCACATATCTTATCTCTCACGTTTCTTGTGTGGATGTACTGTAGAATAAGCATTGAGATAACTTAGGTCGGAGCTAGGATTGTCGGTTGTTTAATAAAAACAAATTTTCGAGACCAAACATTTATGCTCGAGCTCAAAGCTCCAATATCTTGCAGACATTTGCTACGTGAAACAGCGAAAAGTCGCGTTTAGAGCTATTTTTTGATGTTATTGGCTAAGCACGGGTAGACACCGTCGACAATTGGATCGTAAACTTTTCTTTGCAATGCTAAGCTCATGTTAAATGCTAAGGAAATTTTCAAAAACTGTGACTATTATGGAAGTATATATAAAGAGATGAGAATGAAAGCTAAGCAATTATAAGAGTAAAAATTCTCTAACTAAGCAATTTTGCATGGTCCCCCACACAGATGTGTGACAAAGTATTCCTTGACTATCTTGCAACTATCTTCAATCTTCTACAGTTTGAGATGATTGCGCTCGTGTCCCTCCCCGATATATTACCGCAGCGTATGCGCGGTCAAGACATGAGGATAATTGCGCTCGTAACAAGATGTTCTTTCTAAGTGCTGCAGCGTACGCAGAAATTCGCTTCCTTTGACAATATCTAATTATAGATTCAAAGTTTCCTTTGAATTCCACAATGATTACTCTCATCTTCCTATTTGGAGCCGCATGTGCGCAGCAGAACACTGCCTATACAGATAACTTTGCTCGAATGACCATGTATCCTTTGAGTGCTGCCGCGTACTCAAACGATCCGATTAAGTGTGCCAAAATCATTGACCCGGATGCAAAAGAGGTGTCATTCATTTATCTGCTATTTCTTGACACTAGACAGAATTGTGTGATCATTCATTTACTCATTTAGGTTGAACAAGTGACTATATATTGCGGTGATGAAAACACCTGTTCTGGCTATACTGCTGTACTTCCCTCAAAAAATGTGATTGTCATAGGCTTCAGGTGATGCTCTTACCAAGACATCCCAACGGTTACATAATGCGTTTTTTTTTTTGTTGTACGGAGCAATTCAAACTATTAAAACTCTCTCTTACAGAGGTTCTAAAACAAAAAAGCAGGCCTTGAGCATAGTTGCAAAGACAATTGCAACAAAGAGGGTTTGTTTTCTTTTGATTTGATGTAATAAATAAACGAAGTTTCATTTGGTATCTACCAATGCCTTCTCTTAGCTTATCCTTAACCTTCGAAATAGAAACTCAAAATTTTAGTGCAGATGGAAAGCTGATACGGGACAAGTTGCAAAATATTTCTACGACGCTTTTGATGGTATTTGGAATTCTACTAGTTCTGAAACAAGAATGGGTGATAATGTGATACGGCTCGTAAAAGACTACCCTTCCCACGATATATGGGTAAGTTCGTCATTTGATGATTTTTTTAAATCATGAAAACGAAAACCGTTTTAGATCACTGGACATTCATTAGGAGGTGCATTGGCGGCGTTAGCAGCTTCCTATATTGTTGAATCTGGTATTGTGCCTAATGGTGATAAAATAAGGCTGGTAACATTTGGTCAGCCAAAAGTCGGTGATCGCAATTTTGCAAATCTGCTCAATAAAAGGGTAAAGAAAATAAATCGTAAATGGTTTTTTTTGAAATACCAGAACTTTAAGATAAAATATTCCTTCCGTGTTGTTCACCACCACGATCTCGTCGTTCGTATCCCCTTATTTTTTTACACACATCAGCGAACAGAGGTACTTACCTACTTTATTAGCTTTCTTAATCGCCGTTCTCACAAACATTCAAATCTATGCATTCAGATCCTCTACAAAAAGGGTATGCCTAAAGATTATACCGTCTGTGAGTACATGAAATTGCTTCGCTTCTGATTACTTCTCTGCTTTTACTATGGTTCCAGGCCTACGAGAGACATGCTCCAGCTTTTGGTCCTTCAGTTTTGAAGATCACATATATTATTTCGGCCGAAACATTAGCGAATATGGACATTCCGGATGCACGGGAACATTAACGAATACTTCTTCATAACTTTTCTTGCTCAAGGTTTCTTTTTTCCAGAATGCTTTCTTAGTTCTTAGTTCTTTCTTTTTTCAACTTTTTCTCGAAAAAGCACTTGTGTTATCTGAACATAATGGTCTTATTTTGGTTGTTCTGTTGACATGTAAAAGTTTAACCCCGCTATATTGTAGAGTTACGATTATGCACCAAAAGAATACTTTTGCAAATTACTTGCATTTTCTGGTTTGCAGGGTTCCTAGAGATTTGTTTTCAAGTTATGGAAGTTTGAGAGCAACGGTGAATAAAGAGGATGAGCCTTTCAAGTTAAAAAAAGGAGGAAAATTGTGTTCCTATGTGAGGGGCCATAAATATAACTAATAATATTTCCAACCTTGTCCAAGTTTTACAATATGTATCATGCAATGTCATAGAACTTTTATTATAAGTTTTACTAACTTACATGGTAAGAAGGAAGTGGATGTTTTGAGCAAAGAAAGAAGTAGAGAATAAAGAGTACACCTTCCACTAGTATGTGTATATGTATAGAAACTAAGTTGGCGTCTAACAATAAGAGATAGGGTTGTGGGCTTTACTTCTGAGCCCAATATGAACAGTGCCCTTGGGCTTCGAAGCTAGCACTCATCCATGACCACTCTTAATCTTTATAGAGGACTGATAGTAAGTTATTTGAAGGAAGGTGTAAGTCTCAACAAAGCACCCAAGTCGCCAGTTCAATTACCAGTAATGGAAAGAAGGTTTACAATACTGCTTGTCGCAAATGAGTATGTAGAATATACCTGTTGCTCTAAATAGTGAAATCATAAAACCTAAATCTTTTTGGTTTCAAGGAAAATTGCAGATTGCACTGATAAGAAAAAAATGACTTGATAAAAAATGGAAAACAATGTCTATGTAAATATCCCCAAGCTATTTGACATCAGCTCTCATCCGTTTGTCTCAATACAACCTTACAAAATAAATTGCTAAACGGTTGCTCGCCCACTTTATTCCACCACACGATTTAATAGGAAAAGGTTTTCAGGAAAAGGTATTCACGAAGGTAAGAATGAAAAAATGCCAAACAGTTATTCGTTACAAGGAATTTGGATATGTTAGGTTTGTACAGCAATGCCTCATTGCTCAGGTTTAAACGTACTATAGAAATGTAGACTTGTAGCCATAAAAATCATATTTTATAGTAAGGAATACATGAACAATGATCTGAAATTGCAAGCCCATAGACGATGATTTTGTATTAGGTCTTTCCAAAGTTTCGTGGCTACTTTAAAGCAACATCATTTTAAAAACATGCTAGTATGTAAGTGGCATTGACGTCACACTATGTGATGGTCTTTAACAGATTGTATACGAGAAATGTCTCTTGTTAACTACGCAATGTTTCACTGATGCAGCTATGTTGAATTTCGAGTCGCAGTTACATTAGCTATGTTTTTCTGCAAATTTTTCACTTTCAATTGTATCATGAGAAACAACAATAACCATTTTAGACAAGTTAAGCAGCAGAAGTTGGCTATTACTAAGAGAAAAGCAGTTTTTTGATTTCGGGATGTCCTGGAGGTAAAAATTGAGATTCCTCCAGCTAAGAAATAGAAAGACGCGTTACCTGGTCCATACATATTGTCACTTAAATCCGATGTGCACATTTTTTCAAGTGCTCCATATGTTTTGGAATACAACAGTTGCGAAGTTATTTGCAAGAAAAACTCCATCCTGTCGTAATTGGCAGGATGGCTTGCAACGATGGCTCGTTACCAATCAGT